CTTAGACAGCTGCCAGTTGAGTGCCTGTTTCATATTCCAGTTTTTTTATGGTAACACCTTTGAGAACCATATGCATACAACTTCAGCTTCTGCTTTTTGCTCCATATGCTTCTTGTTCCATTTCTAGGTATCAGAAATGCATTTTGGCTGAATATGTGCATGATGAAAATGGAGCTCATGGATGGAGTCAGGCCCCCCGATAGGAAGGAAAAGAGAACTTGACTACCACCAACTTTTAAAAAGTGACTTAGAAAATTAAGCACCAAACCCTTTTCTGCCAGCAACTTTCATTTCATGGGGCAGAACGGGGACATTCCTCTCAATAGCTTAGAGGACAGGTGCTGAGGGACAAGAGGCAATTAGGATTCTTGAATGCTTCTAATACCATTTATTTCTGTTCCTCTACAACTCCCTATCATCATCTGCTCTCACCGAATTAGAGGCTTACATGACAGTACTTGGTTCAGTGACATTGTGTAGGCATTCCGTAAAAGCATTAGTGGGACAAATTTGGTCTCGCAATCCCCCTAATGCTTAAAGATATTAAAGAAATCTCCCAATCTACTGGCATTATAACTCTCCTGTTCTAGCTAGATTCATCTCAACTTACATTGTTATGTAAGGCCATGAAAGTGTTTCCACTTTTAGAAATTGTTGACTTTTCCAGAACCTGCATTCCAGGCCTTGATGACTCTGATTATAACTAGTCAATGAACGGTAAGCGAAGTACTCCCTGTATGACTAAAATTGTTACCATAAAGTCCTTTTCTTCTATCTCATATACTTTAGGCATAGCAGAATTCCTCCAGCCTCACTCATGTATTCTTATGTTAGACATGATTTTCATAAGCCTGCTTCTCTGATTTCCTTGTCCATAGTTATCAAAACAAAAAGGCAGGTGGGATACAGAGGGTCTCCTATAAGCAGAAACAATGATAGCAGAGACCACCTTATAAAAAAAGAAGGAAGGACATGATTTCAAAGCCAAGGCTAATTTGGGACCAGTTAGTATAGGTAACAAACCCCAATGGACCCTGAGGATATCCCTATGTTATAATGTGTGCCAACAATGTGATGGCCCGAATTACAAAGAAACATTAAATTACCGTCAGTGTTCCTTTTGATCTTTGTTTGTAATAAAGTCCCAGCTATATTTCAAAATGAAATGATTGAGTAAAAGTCGTTACACATCAATATTTAAGGCCTTGACCGTAGGAAAACTTTCTCCTGTTCTCTGCCCTGATGCCCTGTGTCCTGCCTCTGCTCCTCTGCGCGCACAGGAATCCATTTAACTCTTCTCACCCAGGACTCACCTGCTAAGGGCATTTCCCCTAAGAAAAGCCGGTTTAGCTGCTTCTCCTTTGAGTGCCTTTAGCCTATACTCTTCATGCCTTATGGCAATTGCCTGTTAACTTGCTCATCTTTCCTACCAGACCGAAAGCTGTTTGCTGATGTATATGCTAGCACTTAGCACAGTAGTACCTGGCACATCATAGATGCTTAATAAATAGTTTTTGAATAAATGAATGTCTGAATAAATGGGAATGAATCTAGAACAGGAGTGGGCAAACTTTTTGACTCGAGGGCCACAATGGGTTCTTAAACTGGACTGGAGGGCCGGAACAAAAGCATGAATGGAGTGTTTGTGTGAACTAATATAAATTCAAAGTAAACATCATTACATAAAAGGGTACGGTCTTTTTTTTCAATAGTTTTATTCATTTCAAACGGGCTGGATCCGGCCCGCGGGCCGTAGTTTGCCCACGGCTGATCTAGAATAACATCTGGTTAAGATTAGTCTGTGCCGTACTTTGGAAAAGCAACATGCTCAAACCTTTGGAAAATTTGTGTTTGAATGTGTCTGGAAATTTCTGTTACAAAGCATCACAGGGGATAAGAGTTCAGAATAGGGTGAGGGATGTTTTTCAGATGTGAAAAACAAAAGTTAATCTAAAACGTGATGATATGTATAATCTAACAAAATAGAGAAGTTATGATTTAAATGTATTTTTCCATAAGAGCTTTTGTTTCATATTAAAATATCCACATCAAGTTGCAAAATTGGATAGAGTATATTCCTATAACTTAAAAATTATTTTGAAAAATGACACTTAAGAACCATTAGTAGTTCACCATTGTCTTGGCTAATAGGGAACAATAAGAAATGTGTCATTTCATGGATCTAGTAACTAATAAAATATTGTTGTCTGGAATCATTTGAATCCAGAAAATAATAAAAGCTATATCTGACAAGTTTGCTAATAGTAAAAAATTAGATGGTAGTAGCAGCATTAGGTGAAAGCATTAAATTTCCAAATGCTATGTTCAAATCATTACACTTGGAAGCACAATGATACATACAGATGAAGAGGAGCTCAAGTTTAAAGTACAGTGCCAGGAATAAAGTAGATTAAAGAGAAGGATAATTAAACTCTAGGTAGTTAATGAAATCCTTCTTTGTGAAATTTCTTCAGAATAGGGTAATGGCTTTGAAATTCCTTTTATTTGTATGAGTGAGAATCATAACTATTAGTGCTCTTTAGTTTTGGAGTAAAATTGGTGAAATCCACTACATACAAGAAGCGTTGGGCTAAACTGGCTATTTTTAAGGCCCGCTCTGTGAACCCTGTGATGCAGCAGGCTGGCTGCCATACCAGACTTTTCTGAGGGCTTCTCTTTCCGTTGGCCTTTCCCCTCCATCTGGCCTGTGTCAACTGTTATGCTTCTGCTTTTTCATTTATCTTAGATCATAATTGGGCTACTTAAGAACTGGGCTTTCTTCCAGAATAGGATATTTGGTTGTGATCCTTTTGACATAAGATTTAAGGCCCTGAAGATAGCAGGCACACTAAACAAAAAAAGCAGTGGATATAAAGGTATCCCCAGACCCTATCCTCATGCCCCTGACCGAAGGTACCCTCTATATATTATGCACTTTGTATACAGAAGTGTTTAATAGTTGGTTTTTAGACTGAAGAAAAATATCCTCCTGTCAGAAATAGCTGCATCAAAATGTCATATACCTGCTTTTTCCTGTTTTGCATTAGAAAGTTAACAAGTGAGTAGCTAGTGTGAATTAACTCTGTGAGCCTCAGGCTTAAGAAAACATTACTTGCCTTATTTTTTTACTCATTAAGTAGGTTTTTTGAGCCCTTCTTGCCAGGAAGCTGATGTTGGTCATTATTGTGGTCCTCCCCAAACACACACACACACATACACACACACACACACACACACACACACACACACTGTATTGTCCTGCCTCCCAGGGCTGAAATGGTCCTGGGAACCAGGGAAAGGCCTAGTCCTGAGCCGTTGTCATGGTCACCCTGGCTCTTTCTGTTCACTTTGCCAAAGCTGAAATGGCACTTCATCGCTGGGAGTGGGGAGCTCTGAGAAGCGCCCACCACCATCCTTGTCCCTGCAGCCAGGCTCCACAGGGCAAGCCAAGGGCAGCATGCTTCAAAACCAGACAGTGTCCACACCAATAGGTGGGCAACCTGCTCAGAGGTGTGCTACCTCTGGGAGCTCTATGGGAATAAGGGCTGTCCTGTGTTGTTTTTTTGTTTTTGTTTTTTGGTATTTTTATTAATTTCAGAGAGGAAGGGAGAAGGAGAGAGAGAGCCTGCAACCCATGCATATGTCCTGACTGGGAATTGAACCAGGGACCTCCTGGTTCATAGGTCCATGCTCAACCATTGAGCTATGCTGGCTGGGCTTACAGTGATGTTTAATGACCCATCTGGAAGCTCTAAATTGATAAAAGTCTAGGACCACAAAAACCTGTTTACTTTATCCTGCACATAAGAAGGCCTTAGTTTTTAGGAATGCAGTATATGGTCTCCCATCCCCCAAGGATAGACTACATATTTCCTTGGGACACTGTGCTAGGCAAAAGTTAAGACAGACATGGATCCTTTCCTCATAAAGTATATGAAAAAGTGAGATTGATCACATCCTGGTGGTGAAGTTTTGGAAATATAAGGACAGGTCTGATTTCTGCCAATGCATAAACTACTAAAGGTCCTAATTTTCTGCTGCTTTGGCGTGTAGCTAATGCCTGTTCAGTTGGGGTTCCTATAAAATTAACTTGGGGATTATTACTAGCAAAGGAACTAGAATTTGTGCCTGGTTACATCAAGAGTCACCTTGTGGAACAAAGAAAAAAGTTCACCTCTAAAAGCCATCTATTTCCTATTCACTGATGAGTTTTATTTTTATTAAAATTTTTTGCTTTATTTTTAAATAAGCTACTCTGCCTTTTAAGATCTCACTATAGATACCACAATAAAGCTTGATCGTAAAGAGTTTGGGCAGCCCCCTAGAAGCCAGTCAGGAAATTGCAGTGAGTCACACATTACAGAAACCAGTTAGGCTGATTGTTGCCTTACTTCCACTTGAAGATATTTTTTGAATGAATATTTTATTGCTCCAAAAGAGCTTCATAAAAACCGGATGTTTTATTTTCAAGAAAGGACTTTAGAAGTTATGCTAATCAGTCAAGATGACTTAGAAAATGTGTCCTTATTTCAGCAAGTTTTAGGTCATTGAATAGTATATGCAACTGGTTTATTCGGTGAGTTCAACTCATGGCAACACTTGTGAAGTAGCCTTATTCTCTCACCACTGCCTTCAAATCTTACCACGTCAATGAATACTGAAATGGGTGCTAGTACACTAAATAGAAAAGCAGTTAGGCTTAAGAAAAAAATCAGTATCCTCTTCAGCCATCCTCACTTTTAAACCAGTGTTGAGGCTGAATTGGAAATTCAGACAGTAGATGCTCCCTGTATTTGATATGACCCAAGAATGATTATCTGCTGGCCAAAATTGCAGTCTTTTTCAACAAAGCATGTGGGGGTGCTTTTGAACCTTTGAGAATGATAACATCTCAGGCAATCTTCTTGGGCTCAGGGACTCCTGACATATTCACAAGATGGTTATTTTCTTCTCAGGGGAAGCAGATGGAATTAATAAACTCTATTATTTGTTGTTCTTAGGCAAGTTAAACCGCAATCCGTGTTCCCCTTTCCCAGAGGATGAGCAACTTTAACAAAAAAGGTATCAATTTTTCTGCAAATGTACTGCTAAAAGTGTCTCTTTAGAAATCATATTCACTTGTTTCTTTTAGGATGGAGGTTCAGGTTTATTCTTTCTCCCAAAATATGAAAGGGGATGTGATTAGATGTCACCATTGAGCAATGATTTCTGTCTTAAGGAAAAGAATGATTCTCTTTGGAATAGTCTATTGGTTGCTCCCACAGCAGTCGCCTATGGGCTATGAGCAGCACTCTGCCATATCAGCTAGAAGCCTAGACATTTTGGATACATTTGAAGAATACATTCTTTTGCAGAGGGTTAGAAGCAATGTGGGTAATAACTAAATATTGTATTTGAAAGAGACATTAACAACTTTTAGCTGGTCTCTGCTTCTTTATATTCTGAAAGTTCCAAAATCAAAGAATAGTCCAGCCCCGAGAGAAAAATCTTTTCTAGTTTTGGCAGGTTCTGTCCGAGGGAGTGAGGAAACCAAGTCTAGCCTGATAGTGACTGCGGCACCTTCCAGATGTGGAAGTCAGCACCTAACTATACTTCGTTCTCTAGGACAACATAAAATAGTTTAATAAGCCATGGCGCTTAAGCGTTAGCAAAGTGCAGCATCCACAGTACAGGTGGTGTCTGGAAAGCATTTGCTATTTCAAGGCTTGATAGAGGTGTTGTCATATGCCCTCCTTCACCTAAATATAATATATGGCATCTCCTGGCAGATCATAGAGAAAAATCTCTCGAGCTGAGAGATCCATTGTGCAATAGTTAGGCTTACATCCATTTGGGACTGAGGTAGGTCAGTTATGATATTTTACAAGGTCAACCTAAAATGACAAGCTAAGTCCTGACTATGCCTGATGATAGGCAATAATTCACATTTAGATTTCCTTTCAGATGTGTATCCTTCTGTCAGCTCTTTACTGGCATAAAACTTCATTGTAGAAATGCTGGAGGCTCATTTTTACTGAGCTCAGCAAAAATATGTAAAATGGCTCTTCTCTTCTGTTTGTTTTATGTTCCCTTTAAGAATAAATGGCACCTGTCCAAACAAACTCAACTTGTAAAAATCAGAAAATCAGGAAGCTGTTTCTAATCGTTGAAATTGGCTCTTAGAATTCTAAATGCGGAGGCTACCTGTTATCATCAAACGAGAAGCAGTCATTTGCAACAGTCGCTGTTTTGCAAATCTGATTTACCAGTTCACCAGAACCCCAATTTGTAAGTGTCACACTCGCATGCATACAGTTGAATGTCTCAATCCAATTCACGCTGCCAGTGAGTTTTGGAAATAGGAATCATCACGTTTTGGAGAGAGTTATTAAAATTTATTTAGTACCTGTATGGTATAGAACACATCAATGGAAAGACAATATAGTTTTACTTCTAAGCTAGCCATTTGGTGATCGAAACAACAATTCAGTTGAGTGTGGCTTATTTTCTAATGTTGTCTTTATTAGCAAAATTTGTGGCCTTGGATTTCTTCAGCAGTTGTTAAGTGTTTTATAGTAAGTGAAGCTTTGTGTTCTCGGGAGGCTGTTTGTTTTGCTGTCAACTAGCCCATTATTATTGAAAGTAGAATAACAAACTCTTTTAACCCATCATTTCAATAAGTCCTCACCTCTGTACCATTAATAATAAGCATAACAATGGTGACCTCATGTTTTTAGAGAACCTTAAGGTTTAGTTTCACCTGTTATCTCATGTAGTTTCCTCAGATGAAATTGATAATATGACTAAAGCAGACGTTTTGAAGGAAGAAACTGAAGCTTAGAGAGGTGGCTGGTGCAGGGTTGAAAAGCGAGCTGAGGGCAGGTGCAGACAGACCTTTTAGTTCTCATTCTGCTCTTTCTGGTCCCACAGGGAGCTAGCACTGGGTTTTGAAAGGGTTGGTGATGGTAGATGATGAAGCCTACTCTGGCTGTAGGGCAAGCTAATTTCACAACCACAAACCTCCAGATTCAGAATCTAGCAGCAGGGAGTACTGTTGATAGCAAGAGTGGAGGCAGAAGTGAGGGAAGCAGGACGAGAGATGTAGGTGTGTAACTGGGAACTTTGAGGCAGGGGCCCTGAGAAGACTGCTTCGGTGACCTGATGTAGTAGATGTAGCCAGGAAGGCTCTGTACCGACCTACCTCCTTTCCCCTTCCCGTGGCTTCTTTTTCTCTGCCATTTCATACAGCTCCAGTCAATCTCTCCCTTCATGATTTCTGAACCATATGGATGGTACCATGCCTTTTGATACTAAATTAGAATTCCAGAATTTGGGAACTGTAGTTTACAGATCTAGCCAGGCCCTATGTCCAGCGGTGATGGATTGAGGAGACTGCAGTGTTTGTGATGAAATGGCTAACATCGTAGCCCTGGTTCACACCTCTTTCTACTGCGTAATTACTCTGTTGTTTCATTTCAATAAGCCAGTCTCCACACCAGGAATTTAAGCTCTATGAGGAGGAGGACTTCCTAGATCTCCCCATGACAGCTACACAGTACTGAATACCACATTCATCTAGTGTCATGAAAGCATGTGTTGAATTGACTTTGGAGCAAAAGAATTCTGCTAGCTGTGCAGCCAAGTAGGGGGATGTTTGTCTCAATTTGAGAAACCTCTTTTCTGGCTCTGCTCTGGATGTGCTTTGGCAGTGGCAGCTGCAGGTGATGGGTACAAACACAAGTGCTAATGCTACAGGATTGCCTCTGACCCAAATAGGTGGTCATCAGGACAGCATTCTCCAGAGCCCTCTGTTCTTGTGTGAAATATTGGATGTGTAAAGCATGAATTGATAGAGTAACTTCTTTAAGAGGCAAGGCATTTGTGCTTGTTTTATTTCAAGTATATTCCAAGGAGCTTGTTATAGCCCTATAAATAATCATTGATCCTCCCAGGATGCCTCACAGCATATATTTCTGTTTTGCAGATGAATCAAGAAAGCTAGAGCTGTTTGGTTTTCTACCTGAGGCAAACAGGTTGATATAATGCAAATTAGATGCTCCGAAGGATGATGGGGCAGGAGGTCTTTTTTGCATCTTTGCTTTTGCCAGATATGTATAGAAGGAACATCTTATGCCTGAGCATAAAGACAGAAAACCCTCACCTGTGTCACTTTAACACACTGACATCAGCAAAGGCCCAGAATCAAAGCCGGACTGCATTATCTCTTCTAACCAGAGCTCTCTCAAGAAAGTACAGTTGGGAAAGCAAAATAATTTCCAGTTGTATCTTGAAGTTGTCTGGTGTGATACCATAGATGTGTAATATATATTCTGGGTATTTTTAAAATAGGGAGAAATTTCCCGGCCGACCTGACTCAGTGGTTGAGCGTTGACCTATGAACCAGGAGGTCACAGTTCCATTCCTGGTCAGGGTACATGCCCGGGTTGCAGGCTTGATCCCCAGTGTGGGGCATGCAGGAGTCAGCTGATCAACGATTCTCTCTCATCATTGATGTTTCTAGCTCTCTCTACCTCCCTTTTCCTCTCTGAAATCAATAAAAAAATATTTTTTTAATAGGGAGAAATTATATAGTGATAAACAGAAGAACGGTTTAAGCAACTACATTTAAGGCCTAAAAAATCACCTACATAAAATTTTTTTCCCTTCTTTACTTTGTAGCTGTGTCTGTATTCTGATGCTGAGGAGTTTTCTTTTTAGATCGGAGACTTATCCAGGCTGGTGGTGAAATCGTTATATGTTATGTGATTTTTATGCCATGAGGTTTCTCATTTTCACTGGATCTGTCATTTCGTGTGTGTGTGTGTGTGTGTGTGTGTGTGAGAGAGAGAGAGAGAGAGAGAGAGAGAGAGAGAGGGGAAGAGAGATAGGGTGATTAACGTTTATAAGAAAATCTTTTTGTGGCTGGTCAAATGAAACTTGCCACTAATGCTTAATTTTATTTTGAGTATATGAATTTATTATACTAATTTTTCCATTTTTGTCAGGCAGTTGCTATGTTGTTCAAGGGCCTAGCTTGGTATTTGGGCTCTTCGCTGTGCAGTAGGGCAAGAGAAGAATGCCTGGCATATAGTAGGTAGTAGGTGCTCAGTATATGTGCATTGAATGAACTAAATAAACAGAAGAATGACTCCAGAGCATACCACAAAACATGGACTAAACCAGTAAGTGATCTATTTTATAATCATAGATTTTATAGTTAGAAGTGACATTAGAGGTTACTTATCTAGTTCCCTATTAGGAGATACCAAATGAATTAGATCTGTTTGCTCTAAAATATCTTTTAAAAGACAGATTTGGAGTATTAGGAAAGGTACTAGATTTACATACAGTTAGATCAGTGGTTCTCAACCTTGGCTGCACATTAGAATCACCTGGGAATCTTTTTAAAATCCTGATTTCTGGGCCCCATCCTCCAGAAATTCTGTTTCTTTGTTATGGGGTGAGGCCACAACATTAGTAACAAAGAAACAGAATTTCCGGAGGATGAGGCCCAGAAATCAGGATTTTAAAAAGATTCCCAGGTGATTCTAATGTGCAGCCAAGGTTGAAAACCACTGAGTTAGATGATCCGATTTCCATAGCCAGCCTACCACCTGCTTTTCTATATGCCCTTGGATATGTTACTCAGCGTTTCCCCCTCTAAAGCAAGGATAAAATGAGAGAATGGATGTACTTTGTGGGGTTTGTGTATTTAATCTGCTTGGCAGCCTTCCTCACTACTAGCAACAGCTGCCACATTCCCCCTGACCACAGGGCGCATGGCCAGGTACCTTACCCCATCTGACACAGCTATTGGTCGGGGAGGTGGAAGCATGGTTGTAGGAGGACCAATTAGAGTATTCCTGTGGGATTCTTCAAGCCAAACCTGACCAGGCCTTTTCTTCTAGGACAGTATTGCTGTGAGAATTTGAGCTTGGAGCACTGTTGGAGAGAATAAGATGACAGAGAATAGTAGAGATATAGGGCAGATGGGGCTTACGTTTCTTGGCCCTGAGGCAAACCTAACTCTTGTCTTCACAGGAGTTGTCCTTGTTTTTAACTTCAAAATTGCCATTTAGGGTTTAAGGTGGTAGATTAGTTTGCTAGGCTGCCATAATAAAATACTGCCTTCTGGGTGGCTTAAAGGACAGAATTTTATTTTCTCACAATTCTAGAGTCTAGAGCAGTGGTCGGCAAACTGCAGCTGGTGAGCCACATGCGGCTCTTTGGCCCCTTGAGTGTGGCTCTTCCACAAAATACCACGTGCGGGCGCGCACGTACAGTGTGATTGAAACTTCGTGGCCCATGCGCAGAAGTCGGTATTTTGTGAAGAGCCACACTCAAGGGGCCAAAGAGCCGCAGTTTGCCGACCACGGGGCTCGAGAGTCAAGATTGGGGTGTTGGCAGGTTTGGTTTCTCCTGCGGCTTCTCTCCTTGGCTTGCAGATGGCCATCTTCTCTGTGTCTTCACATGGTTTTTCCCTCTGTGAGTGTCTATCCTAATCTCTTATTTTTATCATGACTGGAAAAGGAAGGAGGAAGAGGAGAGAAAAAGAGAGGGGCAGAAAAGTGCTTATTTGATTGACTGAAATGGCCTGGAGTTTTCAGTGCCTCCTAAGTGCATAACAATGCTCTTTCTCTCCTTGTTACCGGGCCCCTACATTTTATTTTATTTTATTTGTAATATAAGCAGTGCATTTTCCTTACCTCTGGGTTTTTGACAATCCATTCCATAGGACTCCGTTGTGGAGTCCTTTCACCCCTCCGGGTGATCCTCTTGGGCAGGATCTAAGTGGCTTTAAACCACTTTCTCCTTGTGGCCCAGATCTGTCTGCAGGGAGGACTGCAGAACCTCGGACAGACCATAGCCGGGAATGCGGCCAGTGTGGCAGTCCCTTCGTCCTCCCACCTCTCCTCCAGCCGGAGTCAGATACACCCCCGTGCACTCCTACCTGTCCGGGCACCTGCCGAGCCTTCTGGATGGCCCTCCTGAAGCTCCTCTCTCCTGACATGAGCCAAAGGAAGGTGCACCCACTCCTTCACCCTTATGTGTGAGGAGGGACACATGGAATAGCACTCTCCCCAGAATCTTCCTCAAAAACTTTCCATCTTTATTCTCTGGAACCTTCATTTTGAATGTGAGGCAGGGCCTTTTGGAACCACAGAGCTGGTTGTTAGGTGTTTCTTTTATAAATTTGCCTGTGGGCCTGGACCTTCAAGTTGGAATGTTATGTCCATTATATCTTGGTATCTCCATTGAAACTTACACATTTGAAAA